AACACAAGTAGTAAAGTGGGTTCACTCTGGGTTCACCATGAATCTGTGGAATAGACGCTAGCGGCCACACATCATAAACAAGGATAGGAAGAATTTCCGACCGGCATTATCGAATATCGTTCAGTCTCGCAAACAGAAGCTGACTAATACCCTAGATGGTCAGGCCATTAACCGAACGAAAAAGAAAAACTAACTTTCTTCTATGCCCCATCCAGGCATGATCAGGCCCATCAAACTTCTAATTTATAACAGTCTGTGAGTTATATTATTTTGGTTTTTTGTGTATATGTAATTTACGACGAGCTGTCGGTATTATAAGGACGTTAATACCTTGATCTGACGCTGTTATTGAGTTAGTTAGCCTATGTGGGGTAGTGAGCGCCTGGTCGGTCGGTGATCAAGTGATGCTCAAAAGCTGTTACAGCCCTTCCAGAAGTTATCCAGGATTCCGGGGAAATGTCTGGAAGCACAGAGGAGCTACGGGTAAAGTTTTACTTTTATTTCAGTAGTCAACAATAAGTTTGTTGAAGAGGGCAGAATATTTCATAAGTTTCCCTAAGCATTGATAATGTCCGCTAATATTTTTACATGCGACATTTAGGTATTTGCGTACTCATTCACCGGATGATTATTGCTAGTTTCAAATATAAAAATCAACTTTGAGGCATTCATCAAGTAGGTAAATAAGCTAAAAGCATCTACTATGGCAATATGTTGAGTTAAAAGTGTCCTAATTCTTCCTAACACAGACATGGTATTTTAAATACTTACCTATGTAAAATCACACCTTCAGCGGAAAAACTAACTAACAAAAATCTAATGTTTTGTTCCAGAGTATGCTCTTGAGTTTTCGTGTGTCGGAGCTGCAGATGTTGTTGGGTTATGCCGGGGGGAACAGATCTGGTAGAAAAAGCGAACTCCAACAACGAGCCTTAGAACTGTTGAGGGTTCGAGACCATCCCATTCACAAGAAAATTCGGGATTTATACAAGACCACGCAATCGTAAGTAGTTTTGTTATTTGGAGTTAAACATTCCTTTCTAGGATAAGTTAATTGTCTTAACAATACGCTGATGGTACCTATAGAATTAAATTAATGTGAAACTCATTATGATACATCTATTCAGTGGCGTAGCAAGCTTAAAAATTTTCGATTTCCGAGTTATTCGTAAAAATGTGAAAGTTTTGACAGCTACTGGGTTCCACAGAAATCGATGCTGTACACTACCCGCTGCGA